AAATTTTTTATTTATTTACAAAATTTATCAAAATAAAATAATATTTAGTTTTTTATCTAATAATTAAAGAAAAAAATGATATTTAATAAAAAATACTTTGATATTTCATTATAGTGAATTTATGAAATATTCCAAAATTTGAAAATTTTGACTACTAAGTAAACAATAATAATTTAATCAAAATAACTACTGTTCCTAGGTAAAGGTGTGTCATTATAATAAATTTATATGTTTAATAAGGTGAAAAAGATGAGTTAGCACATGAGGAAGATGAGTTAGACACATTATCAATTAAGATTAAAGGTCCAAAAAAACTTTTTCGAGGTTTAACATTGATTTATTTATATGTTATTTGGTAACTAAAATTTAAAATTGGGGACCAAATATTCAGATTTAGTAACCAAATTTTAGCTTAATTTCATAAATTCGCTGTAATGTGAAACTTTTAAAATCTATATAAAAGGTGTTAAATTTTTTTAGTTAAAAGATATTATAACACATTATGCATATCGATATTGATTAAAATTAATTAATTTTTATATACATTCGATTTGTTTTACTAAAATGAAAGATGCACCACAATACCCATCTATTGCCAGAATACCTGACCTTCTTTACACTTTGTCATTTCATTACTACATTTCTAATATATAAATATAAACCACTACAGATATTTGTTAAAAATATACACATAAACTATTATGATTTTGTAATAAGATGCAAATATTTGTATCTTTATTTTTATAATAAAATGCAGGTATATGCATCTATATTTTATAATAAATGTGGGTACATGTATCTACATTTAATAAATGTGGGTATATGTACCTACATTTAATAATATATACATTTTATAATAAAATGCAGACATATGTATTCATGTTTAATTAAGATTTGTTATACATAATTTTAAAGTTTTAATATACAGAATACGCGTATTTATTTTGACGACTATATTTATGTATTCAAATTAGCAATCACCAATTTTAATAATGAAACTTGATAAGTACCCTATTACTAAGGAGTTTTTAATTCTTCTTGCAGAATTGCAAAAAATATGTCCTAGAAATTTAGAAAACATTAAATTTATTGATGGAAAAGCAGAAATTACAAGAAACTTCACAAATCTTAGTCAAAAAAATTTAAGAAATAAAAAATTTCAATCTTTTAATGAATCTGTTGATATTCCTACAGACTCAAATGCTAGCATTACTATTAAATATGAAATTAAACAACACACACCTGCTGGTCAAAAGCTACAAATGCAGCCACCAACACCTTTAATGTTCAGTGAAATGAGCATTGAAGACCCTGATAAAATTTGGGAAAGTGTAAATTCGAAACTTCATTCTGTTTTTGGATATGGTGAAAAGTTAGAGAGTCAGAACGAAGATGATAAAAGATATTGTTTGTTATTATTATCAGTATTGCAAAATTGGGCATTTGCTGATAAATATCCTGTGGATTTATGGTTAAAGAAAGCTGCAAACACTTTTGGTAAAGAGTTGAAACAATTAAGAAATTTTAATGAAGTTCAAAAACCTTCAAGTATGGGCTTTTTTATGTGAATTTTATAATTATTTAAAGTCTAATATAATAAACTTTAAAGGTTCGATAGTTCAATTTAAGAAAAGTGTAAACGATGAAGATTCCGGACAAGTAAAAAAATTCAAAAAGGCAAAAGGTAATTTGGCTTTTTCAAACTATTTTTGTTATAATTAAAGATGAAGTTCTTCAATTTAAAATATTATATATTCACTATAATAAGAGCGACTTATATTAGAATTAGTATTAAATCAGGTTTTATAATTAATACTGATTTAATCTTTTTATTTTCAACATTTTAAATCTTTTATAATAAATCCAAAATGGCAGAGAGTTGCCGATGCATTACTTTCTTCAGATGTAGAAGTATCTCATTCAACAAATCAATTGGTAATAAGTGAAAATAATAATAGTATTGAATTTGGTGATGATATAAATTCAATAACGATGGGTATTAATCAATGGAAAAAAAAAGATGCATTTTTAAATAAAATCGAAAAAAGTCTCATTCTAGGAAAATTGAATCATTTTTTTAATCTAACGAAAGCATATGCAGCACTTCAAAAGTTAGTTATACAAGATCCACCAAGAGGAAATAAAAGTAAAACAATTAAGTATAAAATAGCAAATAGTATTCTATTAGGTGAAAAATCAACCTCAAAAAGTAGACGGGGATGGATTTCAGCACATATTCAATCTATCCTTAGTATAGATGCAAGAACTGAAAGATGAACTTGGATTGCTCTACGTTTTATAAATCATTTATTATCTGAGCATTTAGTTACTTTAGAATCTCTAGCAGCAGCAAAGGCATCGCCAGATTTTTTTAAAAAAATGAGTTTGATAGTACTTCAGCAATTTTATAAACGAATTAGAAGAAATGAAAATGCAAGGTTTATAGTTGATAATGCAGATGGTTCAGATGATTCGGATGATTCAGATGATAACAGTGGATTTGAAAGCGAAAATGATGATCATGTATATGATGATTATGAAGACAATGAAAGAAGTATGATAAAATTTTATTAAAAGTTAGTTGCTGCTATATATATAATTGTTTGAATCTATTTAAATTAATTATAATTTTTGCAGATAATATTGTAACTACAAGACAATGTCCTTT